GCCCCTCCACTCCCTGTGACTTCTCCCCCCCCCCCCGCCCTCCTTTCAGGCTCCGCGCGCGGCCTAGTGAAAACTTCGGGGAGAAAAACAAAAACTCGTTTTGAATACCTCTCCGAATTCTTGGTGGATTTTTCCTTGGGCGCGCGCATCGAAAAAACACGCGCGGGAAAATCCGGAGGACACCCGGAAAAATTCACGCGGTTTCCGGGGCATATTCACATTTGGATTTGGAAACATCCGGGCAGAATTCACTCGAGAATCCGGGATAGTATTCCCAGGCGGCCGTGGAAAAATCCCACCAGCCATGCAGAGCGTGGGTGGTGGTTTAACGGGCTAGCTTATCCGCGCGTTTCTCCCTGGCAGGGACGGGCCCCCCCCCCCGCCCCCCCCCGGCAGGGACGTGGACAGAGAGTGACCGCGGGGCGGTGGAGTGCCCGAAATGGCCGAAGATGGCTCCAAAGGAACCGCAGGCAACCCAAGAAGGATTCCGAGATCGCTCCAGATACTTGCAGATGGTACAATTTTGCTTCCAATGCGCCTCCAAGCCCCCTCAAGACGCTTCGTGACAGCCCACAATTGTCTTTCGAGCTCTTGAGGGAGGCCTCCAACAGGTTCAACTCCTTTACAATCACTGTGCGCTTCAATTTGTTCCTTCTCGCCTTTTTGCTTTCCGTAGTTTCTAGAGGCCTCGAGATGGCTGCGAGTTGGTTTGAACTTGCTTTGAGAGGGGGCCATCAGGGCCCAAGTCGGCTCCAAGAGCACCAAAGTTGGGCCCAAAACGCTTCAAGGGCGTCGCAAGAGGGCCGCATTTGGCGGCTGGGGGGCTCGAGGAGGAATGGGGCGTTGCTAGGGCCCCACTTCTTTGACCGACGGCTTCAAGATGGCCCCAGGAGGACCCCCAAGGCTTCCAAGAGGGACCCAGGAGATCCCCGAAACGACCCGAAGAGGGCCCCATGGGGCTCCAAGACAGCCGCCAAAGGCAGCCAGAATTGCCCTAAGAGAGCGCCGCGGCGGCACTGATATGACGACGTTGATGGGGCGTCCCGCAGGCACCTAAAGCGAACGACTCGAGATCCTCGACGATTGACGCCCGTCGTCGTCAGCGTGTTTTTTTCCTCTCTATCCTTTATCTTTCCCTTCCTTGTCCTCCTCCTCCTCGTCCCTCTTCTGTGACCTCCTCCTTTTTTCTGCTCCCTCCCCGTTCCTGTGCATCTTCCGTTTAATTTCTCCTGCGCCCTTTTCTTTTCCCTAATGTAACGGTTGTCCTCGTTTTTTTCTTGCGCTGCACGTTGCTTCACTTCGCTGTCATGCTTAGCGCAACTTTCTTGGGATTCGAGTCTGCAAATGCTTTCTTCTGCATGTTCTTGCCCATCCTATTTCCCCCTACTTCCCCCTGCTCCTTGATCCCCCCACCTCTTCCTACACCCTCGCTGGTGAGGGCGCGCGGCGCACGCGCGTTCCGCACGGATCACTGGTGCGCCTTTTGCCTCCCTCGGGCTTCTTGTGCTTCTTCCTACCTCCCCCGAGCTCCTCTTCCGTGTTCCTACCTGCTCATGCTCTTGCGCGTTTCCAGTCTTTCCAATCACCATACTCCCTCTTTTCACCGTGTTCATTATGATTTCCATTTCCGCCCTCCTCTCCTTTGCTCCGCTTCCTGCACCTCATCATCCGCGAATGCGGATGCGGCTCGCTATTTTCGCCGCTTGCCCGATTACCCGGCCTTGATCAGGGCGACTCGCCTTGCGGTTGTTCATGGATTGGCTCGTGAGGATTTGAGCAACGCGTCAATGACTTCACCGGGCGTCTAGGTGTTATTGTTGGCGCCTGGGCTTTGTCGCTGGGGTTTGCCACGGGCCAGTATGATTTACAATTGCAAGCGGCGCGTTGGCAGGCATTCGCCTTCCTGGAGACATCTGTCTGGTTTCGCAGTGACCTTCTTTCGCATTGCTCTTGTTTCTTTGCCTCCAATTTGCGGTTGTATGTTTGTAGCCCTTGGCTGAGCTCCATCAAACGGCTATAATTCCGCTGCCCTCGCTCGATGTATGACCGTCCCCGTACGATGAGGAAGAATCAAGGGCACTGAAGACATTCGAAATTCGCTGGCCACGCGGCATTCACACGAACGCCCGAGCCACATGATCGATTGACGTGCGCATATCAGAAAAAAGGAAAATTAAAATGAAAAACGAAGACGCCAATCCACGCTGAATTCACTCTTAGCACCGGCGAAACCAATTTCCAGGCCGCGTTAGAATTGAAGTCGGATCGTTGTGCTCGATGCGAAATATGGGAGATATGTTGCGGGGTCCGCTCGCACCCCGCTGGCTCCCGCGCCAAAATGAACGACGACGGGAGGCGCTCCCACGGCCAACACCGCAGAGAGGAAAACCAGGGAAAGTTCTCCGGGCGATGAAAGATCGAAGAGTGGGAAAGACGGACAAGCCCGAAGGCGGCGAAGCCAGAAGCTGCAGGCAGGAGACGGATCGGGGAAGGGGAGGCGACACAATCAAGGCGATCACTCACAGAACGGAAGGGGGGAGGCACGCGGGACAAAAACAAACCGCAAAGTTCCCCCAAACCCTCGGGGCCACGGACCCCCCCCACCCCTCGGGATCCCATCGGCGACCCCCCTGCCCTGCCCATCGTGGGGCCCGAAGCCGATTGCGAGGATGCCCCGAGCGAGGGGGGGGCCGACGCCAACAGGGACCCTCCCGCCCGGCAAGCCGAGCGGGCCCTTCGAGACCCCGCGGGCGGTGCGCCCCGCCCCGCCGGCGAGCGCCACGAAGGGCCCAGCCGGCAGCGACAGGCCCTCCGCGCTCGACTTGTCAGGCTCCAGGCTGAGGCCCCGCTGCCCATCGGAAACAGGCATTCCTCAACGCTGGCACGATCCTCCCGATGCGCACGCGGACAACTTGGGCGAGCGGTCGCCTGGCCGTCAATTGTGTATGGTTCCGTTCCCTGGCGGCGTTGGCGGCGCCATTCCTGCAGCGGACGTTTTAACTAGGCCCTGGAATCCACGCTGCAATGTTCCCGCCTATTGCGACGGCGTCTACGCCTAGAACGGGAGTTAAGCCAAGCAAAAGCTGCCATGATCCACACTCGATAGGGTACCGAACCTGCTGGATCCCTTGCGGGGCCTCTCGTTTGATCTCCTTCTCGTTCACGGCTCGCGCGGCCGATGATAGCGCCGATGGCCAACGCCAGTGCTTCATTTACCACCATTCCCAAATAATGAACCCTGTTGAAGTAGGTGGAGTTAATCGTTGTACGTCTGGAAATGGCAACGGTGCCGGTCGTGTTCCCACGAACGGCTGGAGACAGAGAAAAGTTCGCGAGCCGGCCAGCCTGTAGGTCGGAAGTGTACGGGTCGTTCTCGTCTCCACACACGAAGCTAAATGAGGTCGAAGACGAATAAGCAGTAGTGAACGCCGCGGAGAGTTGCGAATCATTCGTCTCCACGGACGAAGGTGAATGGATCGTAATCAGAGACGCAATGGCATTTGAGATGAAGACCTGGGAACCGATCGCGTCTCCACAAGCGAACTGGGAATGAAGACGTAGACGCAGACGTAGTGGTTGATGTTGTGGATGTCGTTGTGGCGATCGAGGGTCCTCGCGAGACCGACGGAGTGCTGAGGGAGCGGAAGACCTTGATCTCGTCGGTTGAATCTCATCGAGCGTAGCCCAGGTAGTTAGGGGAGTAGGCGAGCCCCAAGACGCCCCCAAGACGGTCCAAAAGGGCACGAAGTCGCAAAACGATCGCTCCAGGACGTTCAAAAGTGCTCCCAGGCGGCCCAAGAGGCCTCCGAGACGCCCGAGGAGGTCTCCAAGAGGCCTCCTGAGAGGGACCCAAGAAGCCAAAATCATTGATTTTCATGTGTGTTGTTTGGGTCTTGGCGTCAGGTTTCCCGACGCCCCCAGGACGACCCTAGAGGCCCCCAAGACCGCCCCAAGACAGCCTAAGAGGACCCCCAATTAGCCCAAGAAGCACCTTCAAAGGCCCACGAGGGCCCCAAAACGGCCCCGAAAGGAACCAAAAAGAAGGAACACGAACCGAAAATCCGGGCCGTCCACCCCAATAGGCCACCAGGAGGACCCAAAAGGCGCCCAAGAGGCTCCAAAGAGGCTCCCTAGAGGCACACAAAAGGCACCCAAAAAGGCCCCACGAGGCCCCAAAGAGGCCCAAACGCGGCCCCGCTGCAGATCCAAGAGATCCGCGCGGACCTCAGAAACTTCATGCTCGCGTCGCCTCTTCTTCATCGACCAGAGAATGCCGACCCCGTCTTTCGCACAGACGACACAAGGCCACTAGAATGACGACCTACCAGACCACCCCAACCCAACCCGAAGACCCGAATTTCGGGTTGGGGGGGGTACGGGCTCCATATGTGTTTTTCCAGTGTTCCCCGACCCCCCCCAACTGGAAATGGAGGGCAAATTGAGGCCTTCGGGTTGGGTTGGGGTGGTTTGGTGGGTGGTGACACAAGGCCACTAGAATGCGGATCAAGGGCATGAGCCCCCTCCACGGGGGCCCAAGGCCCGGTGGAGACACCCACAAAAACTAACCGTCCCAGGGCGGAGAGCCCAGCCACAAAGACAACGCCAGGGCAACGCCCCTCCAGAACTGGCGCGAGGCTCCTCGCACTTGTGCCAGCTGTGAGGACCTCGCGCCCGTGGAGTGTGCCCCCATGGGCCCCGAGGGCGCTCAAAGCCCGACCGCCCGCCCCAGCAGAAAGAGACGTAAAGAGGGGGTGAGGTGCATCGCGGACATGACTCGGCACATGCGGGGCCGGAACAAGTGGGGACAAGCGGTGGTTTCCATGGCCTAAACCGCCAGCGGCCACTGTTGGGCGACTCGTGCCCCAGGTTGACAACGTCTGCGGCGACAACGACAGCGGATCCCGTGTTCAAAATGAGCGGAAGCACTAGTGGCCTTCGTCCCCCCCTTTCCGTCGTACACATGCCGACCCTGCCCATCCCTCTTCCCTCCCCCTCTTCTTCCCAGCACTGCGGGCTGCACACCGAACCTTTCGTTTTTCCACCCCGCTCGCTGGAACGCCGTGTGCGGAGCCAAGCAAGCAGTCTCCCCGGGAGAAGGTGCTGGTCGGGGCGCGGTGCTGCCTCGCTCACGCCACGAAGCTGCAGGGTAGGACAGAGCGGGGCCCCGCTGGGTCCCACGAGCTGGTGCCGCGGCAGGATGTGTGCTCTTGGAGAGCGAAGCGCGCGAGGGGGCCCGCGGTTCAGGCCGGACACTCCCCCGCTCTCTTCTTCCTGCAGTGCTCAAGGTCCTTGATGTCCACGACGTCCGTTACCAGGGTGTCTTCGCCCTCCTCGACCCAGCTGAAGACCGTGGAAACCATCTTCTTGCCCACGAGCTCGCCGAAGTTCAGCTCGCACGTCTTCTTCGTCGTACACCAGTCGACGACGTCAGACCCAGGCTCGGAGCGCTTCCCGCCGACCCAAACCTCGGAGCGCCGAAAGAGTATCAATGCCACGCCAGCCAAACGAGCCCACCAACGCCCTGCCGAGTGAGGGATTGCCAGGCATTTACACACAAGGCGAACGAGCAAAGTGCACAGTTTGAAGCACTGAGCTCTACGGCCGGGAATGTTTGCCGAGCGCGTCGCGGCGGCGGTCCTGGCGACACGCTGCGCCGTGCGATCGACAAGCGTGTCGCTCCGCTCCGCGGAGGAGCGGGAGTCTGGGAAAGGTTCGGGACGTGGACGCCCGGAGACTGGGAATTTGTTGGCGTGTCGGGCCGAAACGTGGCGGGTCAGAACCGTCGGCGCAACACGCTTGGCCGTTCTGGCAGGAACCCTCCAGACCTGCGAGGTCCTGCTTCATTCCACACGCAGCCCCCTGGAGTCCCGGCCCACTCCCCAGGTCCGACTCTTCATCCCGAGTCGTTTCTGGACGGTCCTGGGACCCAGTGAGGGCCCCCAGGGCCCGCACACTGCCAGCAGTCCCCCGTCGTGGTCTGTCCTCGGCGCGAGCAAGTCGTGGCCTTCCTCCCCCCGAGATCGGGGCGCTCTCGGCCCATACAACCCAGCCGCCGTCCGGGACGGTGCGGGCTGCCCCGGAAAGCGCTCTCGGCGAGGCGGAGCTGCCAGAGAGCACCCGTGGGCTGGACAACCGTGGACAGCCGATAAAGTCACCCGCAAACCTGGCTATTCGGGGATGGACAGACCTCCCTTTAGTAAAACGTGGTTTAGTGAAAACGACCTGAGGCCCAAAACTGGCGGGCGCAAGCCTGGAAAAAAACGGCCGCGGCGCCCTCTCGAGAACCGAAAACGGACAATTCACTAATCGACGTGTCACTGTTGGGGGTTCTGTCCACCCCCGACTATAGAACTTTTCGAAGCCTGTCGAGCCACCCCGAGCACCGCGCAGCAAGCCTTGTCTTCGCGGGCCCTCTCGAGCTCGGAGACGCGGGCCTGGAGGTCCTGCAGCGCGGCGCGGACGCTCCGCATCTCGAGGTCCGAGTCCGAGGCGGCCAGGTCCTCGGCGGCAGAGGCCCCGCTCCCGTCCGGCTGCCCAGCCCTCCACCAACGACGACGACGACGATCCGAGGAGAAGACTTGCTCAGGCCGCGGCAACAGGAAGATCCCGACCCCTGCCCCGGGGCCAAAAGTTGTCGCCCCGGCTCCATCTTGCAGCGGGCCCTGGAGGAGGAGGAGGAGGAGGAGGAGGAGGAGGAGGAGGAGGAGGAGGAGGAGGAGGTAGGAGGAGGAGGAGGAGGAGGAGGAGGAGGAGGAGGAGGAAGAGGAGGAGGAGGAGGAGGAGGAGGCCGAGCGACTCGAAGAACACACCCGGGCCGACGAAAAAAAAAAGCTCGGGCCCCCTCGGAGAGCCGGGGCCCCAGGATATCGAGGCGGACAGAGACCCGGGGCGGGCGTGACGCCCCTGCGCCCAGGGGGGGCCCCGTCGAAGACAGGACCGAGATCGGAGGCTCTGGGTACACCCTGCGAAATGCTTAAGAAATCATGGGTTGAGAAATTCAGAGTCTCGGAACTTGAATAAAAACCCAACATTTCTGTTAAAATCTTAGGATCTACATTGAAACGTTAAGAATCATCGAGACTCTGGCCGAAAACTTAAGCTTTCTTCAGCATCGCCTAAGGTGTACACGCAGTTTCTGCTCTCCCCTGGGCTGTGCACCCCGATCGTCGCCTCCGACAGGAGGTCTCGGCTGTCTCGACCCCGCGTCGTTCTCTGCGGCTCCCGGGGGCCCGGCGAGGGCCCCTGCAGAGGCCGAGCACCGAGAAGAGCAGCCGTCGTGGCGTTGCCGCTCTGTACCTGCGCTGGAGGCCACGCTAACGGCGGTGTTGCTCAACGGTGATGTTGGGATACAACTTGTAGGAAATCACGAACCACACGTTCCCACATGTCCAGTATGCAACTGCATCGAACGACAACGACGCAGCGAGCTGTAGGAAAGCACGAGCCACGCGTTTCAGCAATACCGAAACCTACATCGCCGTTACCTGCATCGCCGATAGCGTGTCTACGGTATACGATGGAGGCCTGGGTCGTCGTCGGGGTCGTCGCGGCCGATGGCGATGGGAGCGTCCAAGACCCCCGACGTCGCGATGTCTTCCGAACGTCGACCCCCAGAGGTCTTGCCCCCTTCGCCCGGGGCGCCCTCGGTGGGATTGTTTCCCACCGCCACCACCATAGAAGTAGGAGGGGGAGAGGGGGTCCTCCTCCTCCTCCTCCTGATCCTCCTCCTTCTCTTCCTCCTCCCCCCTCCTCATCCTCCACCTTCCCCCGTCCAACTTCTGGTGGTGACGGTGGACGACAGGCCCATCACGCTGTTCGTCCTGAGGTTTAGCACTTCTTGCACAGCCTCCCGACGGCCCCTCGGCGGCCCCCGGAGACCTGACCCTCGCGAGAGAAGAGGAGCCTCTCCCGCCCTCGGAGGCCCCGGCAGGCGCAGCGACACGCAGCCACGTGGCGCGTCGACACGGAGCCGAGAACACGTGGACTGAGCACGCAGGTCCGTCCAGATTGGGCGCCCGAGTTATCCGGGGTAACTCGGGTCCAAGGTAAGTCGGGTTTGGATTCCCGAAAAAGGAACCCGAGTTAGTCCTGACCCGAGTTACCCCTGGATTGGATTCCCGAAAAACGAACCCGAGTTATCCTTGACCCGAGTTACCCCTGATGATTCGGGGCTCTGACCAGATGCCTTCGGAGGAGGAGGAGGACCAGTGCAGACCCAGGACGCATGATCTTGCAATGCACCCTCCCCCGAGTCTCCCTCGTGCCCTCCCGCCGGCTTCCGCCCTCACTTCTCGTCCCTTCCCGCCCTCTTCCGCCCTCTCTCCACAGAAGGCTTGCGCGCCGTGGACGGCCCCGCCGAGGCGCCCTCGCAGCAGCAGAGTGCTCGCCTCCTCGCCTCTCCCTCGCAGCGTGGTCCGCAGGGCCCGTCGGGCCGACGCGGGCCGAACCAGCACGCAGCGTGTTCACACGGGCGCGTCGATCACGGCACGCGTTGTGCTTCCGAGCGGGCGCATCAGGGCAGCTGAGCTCGGGCCTGGCATCTCCCCCCACAGGCGGATCTTGAAGGACAGACTACAGGCCCAAACTAATAAAATACAGTCAAAAATAATCAAAGCAAATCGTCCCCCGACTAATGTTTGACTATCTGGGAATGTCCCTCCTGTAGAGGGACACGGCCGACTTAATGGTCAAGCTCCCGTCGCGAGCTGCTCACAGCGCGAGGGGGGTCTGGGGCGGGCGAGAAACGGCGGCGAGCCCGCGGGGGAAATGAGACGGAGCGGGCCTTCTCAGACGGCTCGGAAGTCTCCTGGCCTTCTCACTGACGCTTTCTGTGAGCCCTCCCCGCAGACACGGCACGGACTCTCAGAGGGCGCGAGGGCTTCGGAGAGGTCCCGCCGCCTTCCGACGAGGCCGGGGCCCTGGCCTTCTCACCTCCCCGCCTCTCGCTCGCCGCCGACTCCGGGCAGCCAGTTGCGCTCCCGTCGTCGGACAAGCGCGTTCCACTACTCGGAAAGCGACCACTCGCAAGTGGCCTGGATCCGCCGCAGGGGATCCATGATGCGTGACAAGAAGCACGACCCGTCTTTGTTCGGACGTCTGCGAGTGGGCACTCTGCGAGTCGTGGAGGGCGCTCGGCGAGTCGCGAGCTGCTCACAGCGCGAGGGAGGGGGGTCTGGCGGGCGGGCGGGAGGGCCCGGCCGCGCGGGCCGGAGCTCAGGGGAAAACAAACCTACCTCGCTTTTGACTACCCTCGCCTCCAAGAAATACCAAGCGATGCCAAACTGCGGCCTGTACTGGCCAGGCCGCTCGACGAGGAGGCGCGTGGTATGACTTGGCTTTGCCTGGAAGCGAAAGCGGGGTAGGTAATTCACGCTCTGACTCCCGACCCGCCCCCGCCAGCAGTACGTGCTAGACGGAGGTGCGGATGGGCACGGGCCGCTCGCCAGAGCGAGGACGAGGAGGAAGGCGGAGGAGGAGGAGGAGGAGGAGGAGGAGGAGGAGGAGGAGGAGGAGAGGAAGGAGGAGGAGAAGGAGGAGGAGGATGGAAAAGGAAGAGGAGGAGGAGGAGGAGGACGAGGAGGAGGCAAGGAGGAGGAGGAAAAGGGAAGAGGAGGAGGAGAGGAGGAGGAGGAGGAGGGACGAGGAGGAGGAGAGGGAGAGGAGGAAGAGGGAGAGGAGTGAGGAGAGGAGCAAAAGGAAGAGAGGAGGAGGAGAGGGGTGAGTGAGGAGGAGGAGGAGGAGGAGGAGGTGGAGGAGGGAGGAGAGGAGAGAGGAGGAAGGGGAGGAGGAGGAGGAGGAGGCTCCGTCCGCGGACAGCTCGTCGGAGCCCGCGCGGGCGCCCGCGGCGGGGCGCAGGAGGAGCGCGAGCAGCACGCCGGGGGCGGCGCGGGCGGCCATCGATCCAGGGGCGCCGACCCTCGGCGGCGTGCCCGGGCGGCAGGGGGGCGTCCCTCCGAGGTCCCCAGGAGCAGCCCGCCCGCACCGTGGAGAGGAGCAGGAGAAGAAGGGGAAGAGGGAGGGAGGAGAGAGGAGGAGGATAGGAGGAGGAGGAGGAGAGGAAGGAGGAGGAGAGGGGGGGAGGGAAGGGGGAGGGGGAGGAGGGGGAGGAGGAGGAGGGGGGAGGAGAGGAGAGGATGATGAGGAGGATGAGGAGGAGGAGAGGAGGAGGAAGAGGAAGAGGAGAAGACCGACGAGGAGGAGAAGGAGGAGGAGGAGGAGGAGGAGGAGGAGGAAGGAGAAGGAGGATGAGGAGGAGGAGGAGGAGCAGGAGGAGGAGGATGAGGAAGAGGAGGAGGAGGAGGAGGAGGAGGAGGAGGAGACCGAGGAGGAGGAGGATCGAGGCCGAGGCTCTTCACCTGTTTCGGCCTCTGGGGGCCCTCGCCGGACTGTCCAAAGTCGACGCAGGGTGACAGACTGGTCCCGGGGGATGCGTCGAGACTTGGGGGGTCTCGGAAATGGAACAGATCGCGACGTCGGGTCTCTGGGAGGGGGCGTCTCATTTCGGCCGCTGCGGGCGAGCTTGCCTTCTTTCGGGCCCCGGCACCCTCAGAGATCGATCGGGCCCGCAAATTGCGGCACGGAGATTGGGTCCGGGGCTCCGGCCGAACTCCTGCGGATCGCGATGCTGCAATGCGTCCGCGGCGGCGGAGCAGGCCTTCTCTGAAGGCGGCGGGGCCCTAGAGAGAAGGCTCCGAGAGCTGCTCGGGGCCTACGAGCCGACGCCTCACAGAGACGGCGACGACGACGACGACGACGACGACGACGACGACGACGACGACGACGGCGGCGGCGGCAGCAGCGGCGACGACGACGGCGACGACGTCCACGACGACGCGAAGATCGGGACAAAATCGGATCGGGATAACTCGAAATCTCTGAGAATCGGCGGGCTTGGAGGATGTATTGGGCGCCGCGGCCGCTCCAGAGCGTTCCGGAACGCCCTGAGAGCGCTCCGGAACGCTCTGGAGCGATCTATCCCGATCCCAGCCCTGCTTTAACAACGTCCACAACGACCCTTTGTGCAAACTAAATGAATTATGAGAATTATTGGAGACTCTGGCCGAAAACTTGGGTTTTCTTAAGTATCGCCTAGAGTGTAGGCTGCCGATCGTGGATATTGCGAGCGATCTGCGATAGATAGCATCGCCAGATTTCCCTTTACATCAGATCAGCACCACACGGGACGCACAGGGACATAGCAGTACTATATGTCCTCTTTAGAGGCGCGCGTCGGACCCGAACATGTGGTATATACCCATACTCTAGTACACACCGTCTCCCGAGCGGTTTGGCCAGAACGCGCCCTCCACGACGCATAGACTGAAA